GTTCTCATTTGTTACAGCTGCAGTACTGTACTTCTGCAGACATCTGTTCACCCACACGTTGAGGTGGGGGTTGCAAAGGTTAATCTAGGGTTAGATGAGGTTATTTATGGCGCAGGAGTTCGTTTGTGTCTGGCCTGGATTAGGTCTGAACAGGACTTTGTCACCGTACCTTATTTGGACATCAAGGTTGAAATAACCAGATTAGGCCTCTTTATAAATTATCAAACCCCGCGAATCCCTTCCCGGGAAATTGGACTGCGTTTCAGGATCGGAATAGAATTTTTCCCGGAGACTTTGTAGAAATCTTGGTGAATTTCATTGTCAAATCACATCAGTTTGAGTTGGAAAGTTTTTTTAACTACAGCAAGTAGAATTATAAATTTATATTAGAGTCAAAGTTGGATGTAATTAGATTGAATATTGTTTTTGAAAATTGAATAATTCACACCATATTTGAGTACTGTACAGTACAATATTTCCTTGAGTAACAAATCTTGTTTTCAAAATTGAAGAGAAAAGGGATGTGCAGCATCATAGATGGATATCAGTGCTTCCTAATGTTTTGGAAGTTTTATCTGTGCACTATGTATACAGTACCCAATTCTCATGGGAAATTTTGAAATTATTTCATCAGATAAACTCATTTCTATGAAAGATATGGAAAAATTGAATTCAGGTTCAAATTGTGTCTTCAAATTTTGGTGTTCTTGTTTTTTAAATATTGGTACAGACACAGAAAATGGGGAATGTGTATTACTTGGGGATACAATTTCATCAACATTTCACACAGAAAAACCTGGTTGTGGGTTATTCTGGACATCTGGAGGGTGTGTGGTACTCAAGTAAATACAGTATTCAGTAATTTGGAAACGTGATCTGGCAAGATTTCTGATTTCCCCTCAAGAAAATGTAAGATGAGGTGTTCCTCTCAAATGGGGATTTGCTTTTGTCAAATTTTTAGCAGAAGTATCATTGTTGAACTTATGCATGCATAGGCATTGCTGCGTAATCCAAATGTTGAAAATAACTGATGATGTGATTCCCTTCCCAGCTTTCTGGATGCCTTATTTTGACATGAAAAAATGAACTTGAATCTAGTAACTTGGTGAAGGGATGGAAACAAAATTCGTGACTGTGAAGGTGTTTCATTCCAACGGTTTCAATCATTGAATTAAAGACTTTCTTATATTTTTCCAAAAAAACTTTTACTTCACGTTCAGCCGTCAAACCTTGAAAGGTCAATCCTCAGTCAAATCCCTCTTGTATAAAAAGAACCGAAAAAACC